CGCAAACTGCCGGTGCACGAGGAACTTGATCAGGCCCTCCCGGTCAATGACGCCCTTGCGCAACGTCGGTGTCGAACGAATCGCCTGTACTTTCCAGAGCTGTCGAGCATGTATAGTGCGCCAACAGCACAGTAGGCATATCCAGCTGTGCGGTGTGTGTGTCAGTCGAGGGGGTCTCCACAGTCCAGAGCGGCCGTCTCACCATGCGCTTCATGCTGCGAGCTCTCCGCAACCCCGCCATCATACGTCTGGCCTTGCCGAATATGCCCTATCAAGGCGTCGACGTTGATGTCCTCCACCCAGCCGGGCTCACCCTCCTTGACATCGCCTCGCAGGCACCATCGGATCGTGGCGGCCAGGTAACAGAGCCGCATGTCTCGACCGCCCGAAATGGCACCATCCTCCATGAGCACGTCCCCGAAACTTCCATCCTCTCGTTGCAGCCGCCGCAGCCAGCGCAAGATCCCGACACGGTCCACCCCTGCGAACGCTCCTCTGCCTCCTTCCCGTGTACCGTCCTCGACGAGCGCGAGCAGCAGCAGCGCAAAGTAGGTGGCAGCAATGGTCGACACGTCCGGGTGCTTAAACGCAGGCTTGTTCGTCTCGAGGTCGTAGTCCTGGCAGAGCTCCACGGGCAACGTGTGGCTCGGCGCGCCGCTGAACCCGCCGCCGACGTGCTGCTGGCTCAGCACCCACTTGCGGATCTTGGCGCGGTCGGACGGCGTGAGGGCGTGCGGTTCACCCGAGGATGTGGCCGGCGAGAGGATATCAAAGGCGGCGACGATGAAGAAGCCGAGGGCCATGCGGATGCTGTCGTGGCTCGTGTACTGGGTCGGGAGGAAGCTGCGGTAGCAGCGCTGCCAGTAGCGGAGATGGCGCTCCTTATCGAGGGGAGCTTGTTCCGCGGGGTCGGCCATGTTTCGCGTGTTGTACGTGGTCGGACAAGGGCTCGGGCCTGAACTGGGGAGTTGAGGAAGAGAGGTGTAGAGCTACGACGAGTAGGCTACGGTCGGGACGTGCTGCCCTCGTTGGTGCAACAGTTCCAGTGGTCTGCGACGATTCATAATCAGTGAATCGACTCGTGGTGTCGAGACATTTACGACCCCACCTGAGCTTTGCACTCGACAGCCTTGCAAAGCGCGCCACTCGTCACCCAATTGATTATCTATGCTAGGCTGGTAGCTACCTACCTTACTCCGGCTGGTAGAGAAGCTAGAGTAGCCTTGCAAGTGTGGAATTAGAGCTCACGACCGTGCTGTGGGGGTTGATCAGTGGGCCCAGTCCCCACGGGTCTTTGACCTCCTTCGAGAAGATTACATGGAAAACGACCCCTTTCAACACACGCAGCCCAGTCATCTCAACTTGCAGGTAAAGATGTACAACTGACATATCTTCTGGTTTGACAGCTTTGGCATCCTGCTTTGGAAAATGCATCGTATCTATGCGTACTATGAGAGACTTGGAACTCGAGCCATCTTTACCACCCACTGGGGATTCTGCACTCCATACCTACAGATCTAACCACACGCAGTACACGGGTTATCATCACGGGGGGAGAAAGGGCCAAGGTGAATCAAATATGGGACTGCAACCTTCAAACATACTCTCATGGGAGCGCCCTCATGACCAGGCCTCCGACAAGCGTGGCCTCTGCTTAGAGGAAGTTGTAGACGCTTCAACGCAGCAGCCCGTTCCGCGCCAGAGTAGGGTCTCACGCATTGTCGCGTTCCCGTCAGGATGCAACCAAGCATATAGGAACACCCAGGTTCCTGAGAAAAGCTTCCTGATGACCCCAAAAGGAGATAAAACAACTTCGCTGGCGAACTATGCTCTGCATCATCTGACGACACCGAGGGCCTCAGAACGCCACAACGCGCTGTTGCAGTCCTGCTTAACCTCTTCGCGAACTTTTAGGCCCGTTGTGCAGCCAATCCTGGAAAGCCAGTGAAACATGACCACTCTTGTCGACCTCGAGAGGGAATAAGTTGGTTCTGAGCGAAGTGGGATTCGAAATCGCAGCGTCCAGTAGCCTGGCTGTGCGATGTCGATCTGCCGAACGATTCCTGTGGTCGTTGTGCTTCTGAACCGGAACCACATCCGTATGCAGGAGCTTCGATGGCACTTCTTTCTCGTCCGCGCCAAACATGTCAAGTGCTCCCTCAACATCACTGTCGTCGCTTTCGTCTAGCTGGCCCCCAAGAAAATCACTCTGGCTGTGCAAGTGGTCGCGTTCTTCGCCTGGGTGATACAACTGGAAGAGCTCAATGTAGTAGTCCTGTCCCTCCTCGCTATCCGGCACGACTGGCGCTAGATTTGGGAACCAAAATGCCCCGACCCAGGTCTTGAACCCCGGGAACAATGGATGGCAGAGATTCTGGTGGTACTCCATATTAGGAGAGGCCACGCGGCGGCTCTGCATTGTCTGGTGAAAATGGACCGTCCAATATTTTGCCGCATAGTCTAGGAAGACCTCGGTCTTCTTGCTAGCTGACCCTGTTGTTGCGCATCGGCTCGGCCGCCCTAAGCAGTAGATGTATGTGGTGCAGATGCCGAGGAGAAGCCTGTGGGCATCGGCCAGGGAGAATGAGTGCTGAAATGCCAATTGAACCGGCGAGCTTTCAGATGGCATAATGCTGGACAGCGGTGGCGGTGTGTCTGTACCTGAAACAGACGGCCTTCGAGATGATGCCGCAGAGCCTGTATCACTCTCCATTGTGAGCAGAAACTCTCGGGCCGTCTCGTGCACGAGATAGATCCTCTCACGGATTATTCGAATAAAGTGCCCACAAAGCGACTTGATGTGGTTTTCAAAGGGATACGCAAGCTCATACTCAACATCGTCCAGGGTTCTGCTTCCCCTGCGCGGCTTATCAGGCTCAGGCTCGACAGCCAATGCAATACTCAGTTCGTCAACCGTGAGAGGGCGGGTCGCTCCGAGGATGATTTGCAGCATCTTTCTTGCTCGAGGTGATTCCGAACGAAGCTGAAGAAGCTCACGATATATGCGAAAGATATCTTTGTTTCGCAGAAGCTCATCAAGCTCTCGCTGTGATGCACCGGCTTCCACCTTTTGCTCCAACAAGTCAAGAATCAAGGACACCCAAAGGAATGTTCGGTCGGCGCGCTCAACGAGCTCTGCCTGAACAGTTTGTAATAGCTGAAAGGGGAGCCCCTGGTGGATGAGCTCGTCAACCTTGGATCTGATAACTCTATTGATGTCGGCACTGATAGCATCCGTCTCGTCTTCGCCGCGTAAGCGAATCAAAGCGCAATTACCGTCGGACTCTCCGCCGTCCGCTTTGAACCTGTTGGCATTGCTCTGAAATGCTATCTTGAGCTGATTCTCAGGACGGCTGGTCACGAATACTTTGAGCTTGGGTCGTCCCGGCTTTGATCGTCGTTTGTTTATATCGCCAGGATCGGCCTCTGCTTTCTCGCCTGATGTTGCCTCAGCCGACTCGACTTTCGAAAAGGACGCCGTGACCTGCCGCATTAGTCGACCTCGTAATTCAATCTCACACTCGTCCAGGCCGTCAAGAATGCAGATGGTATTTTTGGCAGCTTTCTGGCGGGTAGCGTATACGATAGCTTGCCAAAGGCTGTCTACGTCTTCCAATCCGCCATTGTAGAGTGTCGACATGGCCGAAGCTGCGAGTTCGTTTTGTTGCTTGCAGAGCTGGTACAAGAGAGTTTTGATTCCTGTAACCGCACTCAACTGCTCCAAACTATCGGATTTGAAAAAGAAGTAGCAGACATTGATGTTCGCGAGATCTGCAGATGCCTGCAGCTGGTTGACAAGGAACGAAGCTAACACTGATTTTCCACAGCCAGGGTCGGCAGAGACCCAAAGGAGCCCCGGGTCTGGGCTCTCAATCCAGGACAGGTATTTAGGATGGTCGAAAATCCAGGTACATGTACCCTGAACGGGTGGCGCATTCCGACTTTTGTGGCCGGCGTAGTCAGAAACGTTGATAGTTTGCAGGAATGACTCAATCTCGTATTTAGATAGCGTCTTACTGGCGGTGGCCGAGTCAGCCATAGATCTCAGTGTTGACTTGACCGGGGCGAATTGTGCGGCATCAAGGTCGGCAAAGTGGCATATCGTCCGGTGATCGCGCTCCAGAGCAATTCTGGTCTCACCGATGATGTTCAAAATGGCCGATTCGGGCTCGACGACCTATAGGCTTGTCGTCAGCGCACCCGCATCCTATTTGTTCAGACTGCGGATCCGGAGAATATCTGTTGCTGTGACACTACTCACAAGACAGTTCAGAAAGTCCATTTTCCGGGTCTCGTAAAACGATGCTGTTTTCAACTTGGCACCACATGAGTCGACAAACGAGGTGGAGATGTGCTGCAGCAACCTCGAAGTCGGTTCCAGGTCTTTTGCCAGGCGGGCATTGGTACTCGTGCTGAAAGAGACAGCGCGAAGGGCATTCGCAGTGACGGACGCCCACGTTGCTAAATTCGAGCCGCGATGTGGAGTGCCAAAGAACATGACACCGTGAAAGCGGAACGACAGAGCATCACGGTACCTCTCATTCTCGTGGGCTTTGATTGCAGCCTGCTTGAAGACGAGACCGCCGAGTGAATGGCAGATGAAGATGAGCGGTCGGTCTTGTTCCTCTATGGATTCTCTCTCGGCCATGAGACTCTCCAAAAGTTGCTGCGAAAAGGCATGAATGTCCGCGGTAGATTTGCTGAATTGGACCTGAGAATTGTACCAGAATGACATGACACGGGCTGACGGGAGAAACTTGGGAACAAGATCTTTTAGCCAATTGACGCCCGTATTCGGATCAGTCCAAGTCTTCAAGAAGTGCCCGTTCAGGCCATGGATGGCAACAACGTCGATGAGTTCGGGCGACTTGCTGTCCTTGGGGACCAGAGTGTGTAAGCCATAATCTGTCGATGACTTATCTTTATCCTTGCCGCGATCATTTCGCATCGCTTTGGAGAGTGCACCCCAATCCATGTCGTGTGCATTACCTGGATCTTGCGGGCGATTTGCGCGCCCTGAGATCCAGCCTGTTGTTGATGCACTGGAAACACACGCATCGTCGAGTCCCTCACGATGTGATTTCGACCTACCTGCTGAGATGCGGGGTTGACGGACAAGCTGAGTAATTTTCGATGTATGGCAAGGTATTGCAGATGATTGGGTGCTGGGGCGCTTGATATGCACAATAATAGGAAATAGGACAAGCGACCAGCTGCACCTTTGGCTTGGGTTGATGTGTTAACAGGCCAACGCTTGTCGATATCAGGACATCGTCGTCGCTTGAGTAATTGGGAGCCATGAGGTCTCGCTCTCCAGCCGCACAAGGAGTGCCATGATGCCAAGATATTTTCTGATTGCCTAGTTTCCATTAGGAGCAACTCTCCATGGAAGAGTGTCGATTTACATGTATCCGTACGGAAACAGGCCAGACGTGGATTGGGGTTCTGGTGAGGTTGTGACGTACTATATCATCAGTTCCTCTCGTGCCATCACCCAAAGGAACGGTGTGGCTCAGAGGCGTGGCTGTGTGTCAATCGACAGAACGACGCTAATTCAATACCTCCCCTGCTCCACCCTCGAGCCACGACTCCAAGCTTAGCTCCTCGATCGCGAAAGCTGTTCCATGCAAGCCGTCGATTCAATCACCAACATACGTCCTATTTGTTACGAAGGTCTAATTTCCCAAGATGGCGCTCATTTCAACCAGGACGATTATCACGTCCCTGTGCTTCTTCCACATCACACTGGGCTTTTACTTCCTCACAAACCCCAGCACCATCGCCGACCAGGGTCTGGTATTCATCCTCGGAGGCTCCATGGGCATGGTAAGCACCCCGATCATACCTCCCTATGATGCCAGATAGAGATCGCTGACGCTGTCTCTGCAGCCCTCCGACCGAAGCTTCGAATCCCGCTCCGCGCCCTTGGCCTTCGTCGCCGCCCTCCTCATCTTTATGGGCATCTCCGATCTGATGACCCTGAGCATGCCTGAGGAGATCAGCCTTCTTTACTACTGGGGCACCCAAGGTCCGTCGCGCGCTGTCCTTTGACTCGTCGTGAGCTCTCCGCTAACCATGTCTGTACACAGCTCCCCTCCGTCTCAGCATCGCCCTCGGCTTCGTCTTCTACACGCTCATTGCCGGCCCTTCCTCGCCGCTCTACCGAGAGGGCTCCATGCGCGATGCGGTCCGATCGCATAACCCACACTACACGCCCTCCGCCTGGGGAGGCGACGGGTGGAAGAACTCGGTCTTCTTCACGTTCATGTTTGTCGAAATGGTCAGCTGGTTCTGGGCATGGGTGACGCTGCGGGAAGAACGCACCGAAGTTGTCAAGAAGAGCTTGAAGCAGAGCAACAGCTCTCTGCGCAACATGGATTGAGATTCGAGACACCACGTACATGAGGAATCGACGTTCGATATGATATTTGCATTTCAGGGAGTTGTTCGGGAGCCACGGTTGGTCCACGCGGGAAAGGGAAAAATTAGGAGGTTGCATTGCGATGATTTCGGCTTTTGGTGGGTGCCATTATGTTCAAAAAAGCCAGCTTTCGGAAAGATCGTCTCGCAATGCCGAGTCTATGAGTTGCTCTTAGATGCACGCCGTCCCTCCTCCTGTTCTTTTTTCATTCCCACTTGACCAATTCCCAGCCCTTGACATTCGTCCGCCAAGAATCGGCTACGATTCTCTTCCAGTCGTCAAAGCCGTCGCCGACCGCTGCCCGAATCTCCTTCGCCAACGAGTCATCCGAAGATTGAGCCGTGGTCCAGGATCCCAATCGACTTTCCAGGTTACCGCTGACCAGTTCTTTCTTCAGCAGCGCGATCCGTGCCTTGCCCTCGGTGAAAGCTTTGGCAGCCGCGCTGTCGAGCGCCTTGGCATGCGCCAGCGTCTCTTTCGGAAGACAGCTCTGGCCAGACTTATCTCGCGCCCTTTCGTTCTCATTGAAGCTGGTAATGTACGACGTCGTGAGCCTGATCGCCGCAGCGGCATCACGGAGGTGGAACAGCCCATGCAGAGAGCTCAGCATCAGCACAGGGTTGATGTCCCGGTCTCCCGAGGGAAGCGACAACGTTGATTCGAGTAAAGTATCCAGTGTGACAGACACGGCAGAAGCGATTTGCGAGAGGACAGACGCGGAGGGGTCGCTCCGGTCTGACGACGTGGCGAGGGGGGCGAGGGTGGTCAGAAGGGAGATGAGTTCGAAGAAGGTATGTTCCTGGGCGGTGAACTTGGCAGTCTCCCGACCTCGGAGGAACTTGGCGGCGGTGTTGCTGAGTTGCTGCAGGCTCTCAGTCACAAAGATGTTATCTACCGCTGTGGCCTGGCTCGGGTTTGCTGGCTTGTATGCCGACGGTGGCTTGTACGAGAGGACCTCGAAGTATTTCTCAGTAACAATGGCAAGGTGCGTGCGTGCGTTCTAGTTCGCGTTAGTAAATGGGAAAGACTTGGCAGAAGGGACGAACGAACCGATGGGCTGGGTCCGATCTGCAGGACTTCGTAAACAGGTTGCGCTGTGCTGACGTGCAGGTTAGGCACAGATCCATAATCGATGACCTCCGTCAGTTGTGTCGCGGGTGTGATCTCGTCTAGTCACACAATTAGCCCTCGGGATGATCATTCACCACAAAGAGTCACCACTCACTGATGTAGTCCTCATCAGAGATAGGAGTGCCCTTATGGCCCAGAGCACGAGTCGCCCGGAGTTCCTCGATGTAACCCATTGCCATGGTGCAACTTATCCGTAGGCGGTCGATAAACACAGGGATCTCAAGGATACTTGAGTAGCTCTCGGATTGGAAGGCGTCAGCTAGACGTCGCGGCATCCTCAACTTCAGGGAAGTGCCGTAGTAAGCCTTGAGACCGTAGGTCATTGCTTGTTGAGGTCTATTCGGTACGGGAAGCACCGCAGCGGGAGAAAGCGTAGAAAGTCGATCGAGGAAATAGGGGCTGAGCGAGTCAATAATCGTCCGCTTGACGTCCATTGTGGCCCATAACTCCTTTGCCCTCGAGATGGTACCCAAAATGAGATGAATGCGAACGAGGAGTAGCGTAACGCGGCTGTGCTTTGGAGTCCTCGTGAGTTGGTATTCCAGTATGAGGGCAGCTTGGAGGACCCGATCACTTTGCGCAACGTGAAGCGGCGAAGGGAGGTGATTGCTGCGGTTAGCTCGTAGACCGCTGAGCTTGATCAGGGCTGTGGCTGTGAGAATAGCAAGCTCTGGAACACAGTCGGGGTCCTGGCCATCGGAGGACCCAATTGAGCCTACAAGGGCGCGATACAGCGAAGCCGCCGATTCAGCAACGCCTTGGAATCTCTCAGAACAGGTCTCCGACTCGCCTTCAACACCGTTGATGACGGACTTCCATCTTGGCTTGGCATCAGCTGCAACCGGAATCTGCACTACCAGATTAGGAGCAGTAAGGATCAGGTACTGAAGCTGATACGCCAGAGTCTTCACAATTGCTGTATGCAAGGGATCTTGTTGTCTCTCTGCCAGATGAGGAACGTATTCGAAGGCGAGGCTCTTCATTTCCTCTGGGTCAAGTTGCTCCACAAACCGTTTGATATCGTCGAAACACGCTGGAGAGGAGCACTGGCTCTCTATGTAGCGTTGTAGCTCTTCTGATCTTGGAAGAAAAGCATCATTGTTTGTAAGATCAGAAGTGCCAAGTTGGAAAGAAGCAGCAACACGGGCCAGGAGGATATTGCGTAGATAAATAGGGCGAACTGTTTCGGAGGCAGAAAATTGATCGAGAAGAGACACAATCTCGGAAATCACCCTGGCAATGCAAGTCAGGATTGATTGCTTGCTTCGAAGACACGGCGTTCGGGACTTACTCTGGTCGAGCCTGTTTGAGCTGCCCAGCAGCAGCGAGGAAGTCTTGCCACACATTCCAGTCGCAGGCAAGGAGTCTGACCCCAGGACCATCGTCAGTTGCTGTCAGGCAATCCTTGCATAGTCGATATACAGTGGACCAGTCTTCTCGCTGTTTGCTCACGCGAAGAGCGCGTAGGAAGAGGTCCTTGCGACCGAGGCGAAGTTGCTGGACTGGTCCGAAGTGAGGGTGGTCCAGGGCGGCCTTCCACTCGGCGTCTGATCCATGAGACTCGAGGATACGGTAGAGAAGGAGAATCTCCTCCTCCGTCTTGATGGACCTATCAGTATCCGTACCGGCAGTCTGGGATGCACGCTGTATTTGCTTGAGGGCCAGCATGCCGTACAATTTCTTCTTGTCGGGAGTGCACTGGTCACTCAGCTGGAAGAGGTCAGAAGGCGCACACAGACAAGGTTAATGGGGAATACACACGCAGAGAAGATAAGTGATGACGACGTTCCAGAAGAAGAATGTCCTGTCATGAGGGAAGGACCGGTCCAGGATGGCAGCAATCTGCTGCGCGCTGACGAGGTCCCAGTGAAGGAGGCAAGACTCGAGACACCTAACGCCGGCATTGCGGTCCTTGGGACTGGCCTTGACGCACCTGACCTTCAAGGGGCCAAGGGTGTGGGGGAATTCGCTCTCATCCTGAAGGCTGCCAATGGCCCATTCGAGCAGGTCCAGGGCGTCGACGTCCTTGATGACAGTGCCGTCCTTGACGAACCTCTGCACAGCAATGAGGCCGGCTGACCTCTCCAGCGGCGAGTCGAGGTTGGACTCGGCGCATATTTTGACAATCTCGTACCGTCAGTCGAGCCGACACAGCCTTCTTGGGTTTCTTGAGAGACAAAACACACCTCATAGTATGGGTCATTGAATGTTCGGAGCCTCTTCTCGGCCAGGCGGATGACGGACGCCCATTGACCCTCGTGAAAGGCGGACTGCAGCTGCAGATCAACGCCGCTCTTGAGCTGGGGGCGGTTCCAGGACATGGTGATGAGTTGGGATGGCGGGGCATCAACTGAGCCCGTTCTCGCATGCACCACACCACGACAAGGTGAGATGGATGGAGGGGCACGAAATTCAATGCAAGACGTACTGTGATTGGTTGCGCATTGAGATGGCAGCTGCAAAAGCGGGTCCAGCCATCACTGAGGATTACTGGTCGTCGACGAAGTCAGAGGTTTCGGGCATTTGGCTGATGAAATTGTTGTAAATTCTTCCCCCGCCCTGTCACTCTTCATGATCATTATTCGCCATGCAATACCTCTCCCATCGCTAGGCTCAATCCACGGCCATGGTTAGTTTACACCTGTTGTTACACCACGCTCGATCCCGGCGGCACCACTCCGAAGCTATCAAGCCGCATTGCTATTCCATTCGTACACGTCTTTCGGCGCGGCTGGCCGTTTAGAAGAAACTGCCCGCCTTTTTTCTCTCCTCCTTGCGCTGGTCCATCTATTTGGTATTAGTGTGGTCCATTTACCGGTTAGGAAAGACGTATTGGACTCATACCCATGCCTGTCGACAGTCTCGCCATGCTCTGCGGCAATGATTAGTTGAACTCTGTAACTGGGGAATCCATGACCACCGTACTGGAAGTATTCGCCACACATCTCCCTGTCGCCGTTGTTGCGGTTCAAGCACTTGATGCTGCGCTTGGCGGCGTCCTGGCACGGGTCCATATATTTGCTCTTGCTCTTGCTGGTCACGGACAGTCAGTGCCATGGTCCCAGGCTTCGGGGTCGCGGTGATCGAACGTTTCAAACTTGGTCTTCGTCTCTTCGGTCCATGGGTTTTTGTTCGCAGCATCGATGGTCTCTGGAGGATTGTCGGTGGAAGGCATTGTGGGCGGGGGATGGAGCGTGCACGCGCGCGTCGGAAGGACTGGATCTCCTTGTTACTTTTGGTGTACAGAAGGGGGTTTGCGAAGCGCTGGATGGCTTGGGTCGTCGGTAATGTCTGTCGCAGTGCCGGATGTCGAGAATCAACATCTCAGCATCTCCGTCACCAAGACCCCAGTCGGAGAGGTCGCAAGTGGAGCCTCCTGACTTCTCCACCAAGGTGGACACTGATAAGATAAAGCTCGACGTCAGACGGAGGGCTCGCTCCCCGCTGTCAGCCTGGCAGGCTGACAACCTTGCTCACTGGCGCGTTTGTCGCGTAAAGTGGCAGGTGCTGCGGTCACCTCTTCCTGCCCATCTGGGCACCTTGCTTGGGGCAATCTTTGAGGAGCGTCGTCCAAACCTCAGGGAGGTTCGACGTCGCCAACGTTCTCGTCACATTGCGTCTATTTATTTCGGATACCATTAATCTCATTGTTCCCTCCCCATCGTAATTCGCCCTCGTCGCAGCCTCTCTGTCCAGATCTGTTTCATGTTTAGCATCCAGCGAAGCCCTTGATGAATTCTTCACCACACGACCGCTCGCCATCAAGAGCTGGACAAACCTCTCGACCGCCAGGCACCCTCGCCGGCGTTTTCGCCCTCCAAGGGTTCGCTGATGGATTGCCGCCCTGGGCAGCACACGAAAACGATGACGCTCGGGCTAAAGTGATACTCGGCCAGCGCAAGTACACTGTGAACCACTCGAGCCTAGAAGAACGCATTTATGTCAACTTGGTCATCATGTTCAGGGCTTTGCTACATTTCAGCGCCATGAACCACGAGATTGCGATTTATCGCGCCGTGGACCGCGCCTGCAGTTTCGCCACGTCCCACGCCCGCCAGATTCGTGATCTCACAAAATTCTACTCTGCCAGGCGCAAGGCCTATCGACGGGAGTCCGACCGCGGGGAGAAGCCGACGCTTCTCGCAGCTCTCACAGACGAGTGGTGTCATCTCTGGTCTCACGCTGTCAATAGGGCACCTCTATACGAGCGGGAACACTTCGCCTTGTTCGACGACAAGATGGCCCAGTGGGCTGACCTCCTTCAAGATGTCGACCTTTTGCTATCTCCCGGGTTCTGGCCCTATTCTGATGACCGCTCTGCACCCCAGCGACCGGAGGAGCAGCAAATCCAGCGCGAAGATGCGAATTCCAATAAAAAACGCCTTCTCTCCTCTGAAGACGAGGCACCTGACAGTGTCAGCAAACGACACTGCGTTGAGTCGGCCAGGGCCACGGACTGCTTGCCTTCACCTAGTGATTCGCGTGGAAGAGGCCACAGCTCGAGAGACCTTACACCTGCTCGCACAGAGAGGCTGTCGAGGATCGATGAAGGGACACCACAAGCCGACCGAGTACAGGCTGATCATGCCGGACAAGACGTCGCCCCAGAGCAGCCTGGGGAGACTGATCACTCTGCATACAAGCGAGATCCACCTGCAGAGATTGACAAGACTCACAGTGGGCTTGACGGTCACTTGACTTCCAAGGATGCCTTGTCAGAGATGGCCGAGTCTCGCGAGGACGGTTTTCAGAGGCTTGAGGCGCCCAGTACTATTGCGCAAGCTATTTCCAAGAATACAGAGCACTCTTTTGCCCTTGAAGGACTTGGAACTCGGCTTCAGGATCAGATCAACGGCCATGGTGCTCGCTTAGACAGACTCGAAGGACGACAAATACACAACGCCATGTCGGAGGAGGATGCAAAGCGGATCGAAACACTCGAACAGCGCAACAAAGATCTTGGGGAACAGCTTGATGACTTGCGTGCGCAAAGCAGTCTGTCAGACGGTCTCGACAGAGATCGGTTCAATGCCCTTCAGGACCAGTTTTCAGCACTCGCGCGGCGCGTGGCGGAATCCGACTCCAGAGCTCAGGCAGAGAGCAATCACATCAAGGAAGCAGAACTAACCAGGCAGACTCAGGCCGAACTCATCGAGACACAGAGCCAGCACATCGCCAAACTGCAACAGCAGATAGAGAGCAACCAGCGCGTGATCGACCTGGAGAAGGAGTTTGAGACCGTTAAGAACCAGTTGACAGAGGTGCAGGCTGCCGTTGAGGGGAAAGATATCTTGGGTCGCTCATTGCGGGATAGACTGGAGCACTCGCTTGGGTTTGCCCGCGCGATCCATGCGAGGGAGGTTTTCAGAACGAGAGAGCAGATGCTGGCGTCTGCCGATGTCGTTGTGCAGCTCGAGCGAGCGTTGCAGTCACTGGAGAGGATGAAAGAGCTGTGATGACACCAGCGACACGAATTTCGCTTTTTATACCCACCTTCAAGGTCGCATGAGCATCCGGTGTTCCTTTTAGGTTTCCTGCGAAGCTTCATGTACAAGAGCAGACAGACAGTTCGAAAATACTGGCATGAAACGCTACAAAGGTCATTAGGAAAATCTATCAGAAGGACCTTGTATGCCTGTCTGTGGCAAGCTGATCCACGTCCGCTCACGTCCTCCCGACGCCCAACGCATCCACGACACTCGAGTCCCTGCGAATGATGATGTTACTGTTCCGCACATAGTCCGCCAGGCGGCTGACCTCGCGACCCCTGTGCCCGTCGCACTCGCGACACCCGCGCCTCGCCATCTCGAGCCCGACGACGCCGTCCATGACGCCGTTGGTGGCCCCGCCGCCAACCGTCGCGCCGAGCCCCGTCCAACTCGTGCGCTTGCCGTCGCGTCCGAACCGGCCGCTTCGCTTCTTTGCACTCGGCATACGACGCCATGGCCGCAAGCTTCGCGCTTCTCGGCCGTGTCGCGGTCGATTGCTCATGACGTAGTCGAAGGATGCTGCTTCTTGCCCGGGCGTCGTGCCGTCCATCGAGGCCGGGGAAGAGCGCGCCCAGGTAGTCGGCGAGATGACCCGGGTGGGCGACGCAAGGCACCACGGTTTCCACCTGGTTGAGGAGGAGAGGGCATGGCCGAAGCGGACATGCGTGGGTGGGCGGCTGGACGTAGATGAAGGAAGAACTGCCGCAGAAGCGGGCCGGTGTGGTCTTTTTGGACGGCGCGCAGGGACACCAGCTGGGGCGAGCGGGTCAGAAGGGGAAAGGCCGAAGTCCTCCGATATGCGGACCCCCGATCTTCGACAATCGGGCTCTCGAATCCGCGGCGTGCTGCCGGCTGGCGAGGCTTTCTTTGTTTCGCCGAGCGGCGTGGCGAACTCGCGGACGGCGGCGCCGAATGTAAAGATTTCAAGCTTGGAGAGCTTCTCCGGCTGGAGGTCGGCGCTGAGCCGCGTGAGGACGGAACTGAGCGGGATGGCGCCTGTTGTGTGGGAGAGGACGGCCACTCGCGTGATGTGGCTATCGAGCAGCGCGGCGCGGAGTTCCATGTACAGAGCCCGCGAGGCGGCCGTCTGCATCGAGGGCATCGCCCGGTGAAGCATGGTCAGAATGATATCAAAGGGAAGACCGTAGGTTGGCGTATGGATACCCGTGATGGGGTGCGTGAAGAGGCGAGCCATCAGAGGCAGCGTGTGATGTGCGAGGTGGTGAGCTCTGGGAACGCTGTCAGCATGCGTTATCATCCGGTACCTCAGCTCATAGTCACATACGTTGTCCCGATGCCACTGACAAAAAACCACCGTTCATCGTGCGTCTCGCTGTCAGTAGCCCAGCTGTCGGACCCGTCGCAGCTGATTATGACGCTGTCCTCGTTCAGCAACCAACTGAGGCCGAACACTACAGTCAACGACATGGCCGCCCACGACGCGAACACGATACCAGGCATGAACAGCCAGATGGGCACCACGGACAGCAGCATCCCGACCTCGATGACGCTCAGGCAAGTCTGCACCACAGCATCCTTCATCTGCGCCCCCGACATCCTCTCCCCGGGTCTTCTGATCAAGCCGCCCCTTAGCGCAGCCCACAGGTCCGGGGCCATGGCCCATAGGTCCTGGAGGTTCTCACGCATGAGATCAACGATGGGCTTTTGTGCGAGTGGCAGCGTCCCGCACGCGCCGTCGATGAGAGCCGGTATGTACGTTACGGGCGGGCATGGCTGTTTGCCCGTGGAAGATGGTAGACGGGGCGAGCTCGGACGGGGCGACTGCAGCGGTGATGCCTGGTAAGATGGCGTGCGGGAGAGCCAGGGCATAGTGGGCGAACGGCTCAGCTCCCGCGTTGGCGTTTTCGCAGAGATGAACGGCATCTCGCTTTGTCTCGTTTCGTTGTTTTGTTCGTCGCTATCGTCGTCTTCATCAACATGCCCAGAGGGAGCAGGGCCAGCTCAGTCGGTGAAAGAAACACCAAGAGATCTGCCAGAGAGAGCTGTGGACAGGGGCATGAGGCATTGCCATGCTTTAACGGACGAGCTGGAAGCTCGACACATTGTTAAGGGGGCCCCCTTGTTGTCCGTCTCCCTCGAATGCCAGACCCGTCCGGGGCGTTGGGAGGTGTTGCCGCGGGGGGAGTGCGCACTCTGTGGGGAAGCAGGCTAGATTGCTCACATTCCACTCGACTCAGCTTGTTGGATGGCCTCATCGATCTGGATAATCCAAGGGCCTGCTTGGCAGCCCTTGGTCTCCCCTGACGAGGCTGAACCTTAAGCCGCGATGAACATGTCAAAGGTGGGTTCCCCTCGATTTCCTATTCTCGTCATTGTTTGTCCCAACCGCTGACCCGATTCGATGTCTCACTGAGACAGATGCGTGCCGACGGGTCCGTGCCGCTAGTGCGCGCAGTAGCATGCCTAGTCGCGACTATGATACGTGCTGGTGTTGATGTCGCGTACACCTGGGAGGCCCGGAAGGCTAGAAACGGAGAGGCAGGTCGCAAGAACAGGAGGGATTGAGAGTACTTGAACAGCATTATGGCAATTTAGGGTCATCAAGCCAACATCTAAACGCGCAAATAGCCCATCCAACGCCAAGAAGGGGGCAACCAAGACATGCCTTACCCTTGCCATACATCCAAATAGAAACAAACGCTACATTATTCAGGTCGAATGTTACCCAGGAGGCCTGGTCTGGACGCCTCCCACGCGAGCTCAATGACCTCGTCATTCTGGCCGGCCTTCTCCGCCCGGTGCACGTAGATTTGCCGCACTCCTCCGTTTTTGAGGTAGTCGGCGTCTTCGAGCTTATACGTCTTCTTCTGCCCCGGCTTCATGGGTTTCCGTAGCGGCCCAATGCTGAAGTCGTAAAAGTCGGGCTGGTTGTTGGACCACGTATCTTCCATTCGGCTGAGGTCGACGTCGTCGAGACCGTCGCGGTAGACGCTGATGGAATAGCCGTTGGTGAGGACCGTGTCGGCGCCCATGCGCCAGCGCTGCAGGAAGCAGTCACCGCAGACGTGCGTGATGGTGGCCATGAGCTCGACGGGGGAGAAGTACCAACTCTTCCAGTGGTGGACACTCAGGGGGCTGGGGCCTCCCTCGTAGAAACCCGTGGCGTCCCTCGCCATGTCCATTTGGTACAGGCCCGGCAGTGGCGTCAGCTTGGTATGCGTGTGTTTGTAAACGCATTCGCGCACGAGCGCGTCGCCCTCGCCCGTCTTGGCCTCGTTGAGGCATGTCTCGAGCAGGGGTTCGAGGTCCCGCGCCAACTTCGCCGACAGGAAAACGCCGCCTCCGCCGAAAGCCATGTAGCCAAAGGTGCGAACAGCTCTAAAGTCCTCTGATAAGGCACCGACGTAGGCCTGCTGCGTGTGATCAATGTCGGAAAGGGCGACGGTGAGCTTGTGGAGAGAGGGGAAGAATGTGTCGTCATCGAGGATAGCAATCCATTCGGTTTCGGGGCCTGAAGCCTTGACGAGGTCGCGGATGATGGTGAAGTGGTTTTGGCCGACGCTGAGCCTTGAGCGAATGGGCTTGACAAAGCTGGCAATGACATCGCGCTCGGCATAGCGAGCGACGAGAGCTTCGAGTTTGGAGCGATTATCGTCATAGTCGGTGACGACGCCGACCAGCTTGGCATGCGACCCTGCAAGCCAAAAGGCGAATGTGTCTATTGACTCTTCGTAGCGCTCGTACGACGTGGCGACGCCGAATACGTATTGGGGGTAGGTGGACTTTGGGTATGGGCGCGGAACGCGCAGTGGTATAGGATCGCATCTTTCGAGCTGGACTGGTGCGCACGAACTGAGATCGATCTTCGTCTTGGTCTTGAGGAGGGGTTCGTCTATTTGCGCAACAGCGTCGCGCTCGAGGGATCGTGTGACAACGGGTTTGATGCACCGCTTCGTGTAGGTGATGGTGTCGGTCAGGTTGAGCTCAAGGTTGCGCAGGTGCCGGAGTGCAGGCACAGGGCAGTCGGGATTTCTGGCTGGCGATGATCCGGCTCTGGACGGGTGCGACGCGAGGCCATCGTCGCCAAGATGGAGACGGGTCTCGAGATTGCTAATGAGGAGGTACACGAATATGGTGACACCAACAGCGGAGGCCAGGCTCCTGACGGTGCGGGTCTGGGGTATTCTGAGCTTCATGTCGGCGGGAGCATGCTGCTGAGTGGCCCTTCTCCTTTGCACTCCAATCCTCTCGGTTTCTCCTCTCTCGGCGTGCCGGACGCCGGGCGCGGTGCAGTTGAGAGGAAAACACTCAGCGTCGAAGGCAGGTCTCGAAGAAGCAAGGTGCTGGTATTGGACGAGAGGTCTGATTGGGGTTCTGATTTGCATCTGACGATGCAATGGCTGGTCCAGATTGTCGAAAAGGGTGGG